ATATATATATGAGATACAAATAGAGAGAAACGGAAATATAGAAAATTTATTCTTACTTTGAATGTGCAGTATCATAAATTCCATTAAAGAAATCTGACGTAATCATTGCGATTATCTCACAAAAGAATAGCTTTTCCTATTTTTACATGCTGTGCACATAAATGAGACGCTCGTGTCGCGGTTATTTTCTCGATAACAGCAATTATTAAAACGGTAACGAACGCGACGAACTGTCTCCTCTGTAATTGCGAATAATTGAATGAAAAGTGCCGACTTCGTGCAACAGGCGAAACGTCAGCGGCAGCCTTTGACGTACCGAAGCGCCGTTTCGTTTAAATCCCTGTACCATCCTGTAGTGATGGCGTTGATTCTCGTGCATGCTACGGAATACTTGATATCGCGAAATTTTGAAAGAAATATTCGTTAAGTTTGACATTGACAAAAAATATAATTAAAATAAGTAATTTTTTAATATTGATAATATAGTAATAATAAATAATGTGTATTGAAAAAAATAGTAACGATTAGTTTAGAAACTTTTGAAAAATGTAAAACGGACTTAACAAATTCTAATTCTTTTTTCTGTAAATATAATATTATGCAATATATTTTACTTAACACATACTATCTCAATATGTAGGACTTACCTATTTTTTATACTTACAATTAGTATCTTTTTTATACCTTATGAAAAAAAATCATTATAATCATTGTGCTACACCATTAATAATTAATAAAATAATAAGTAATAAAGTAAGCAAAATAAGAAAGTCGGTTTGAAATTCAGAGTATCAATATCTCTTCAATTTGCGTGAAAATCGCAGGACACAGCTGTCGCTGTCAAAGATATATACATATATATGCCTTCTCATCACGTTTCGTTCGCGATACGCACAGAAACAAAAACTCGCATGCGAGTGTAAAAAGCTTTAACATTCGCACTTCAACGTTCGTTTGCTCGACGCGTCAAAGTGGAAACGCATTGCATACATACATCGGCAGTTCCGGTTCTTTAGTGGCCGAATATAAAATGAAGAATGACGCGAAAATGAAATAAAAAGACAATAGTTTAATTAATTACAATTCTTACAAGATTTTCATGCTCAGGCAACGCTATCGCCACATCGAATTCGATATAATAAAGGATAAAATGGCAAACGTTTCGATGCGTATCGGTAGCCGCAAAAAGAGCACCGCGTCATACATGTTACGCGAATCGAAAATAATCAAAAATTGAAATTAATCGACAGACACACAAACAATAGTGGAAAGTTTCGCTGGCGATAAAAGTTTGCAGCTCGCAATTGCAAATAGATTGAACAAACAGTTGGATGATCGATATTCGCTACTTGACCTAATTCGTTGAATCTTATCGACAGATCTGAAAGAAGGGAAGTGTCCTTTAGGGACAAAGATATCTTTTAACTCATGTGATGTCTATTGTTCTCATATCTTAATTTGAAAGCGAACATTGCAAGTGTCCAATATTACTGGATTGAAAGAATCGAGACTATCGGTTTCTCCAAAGTCTTCGAAACTTCGCAATAAAATAGATTTTAAGAAATTGAATCTTTTTTTTTTATAATAGTATAGTCAACTTGGCATTTTTATGTCAAATTGGAAATAGAAAATTTATTACTGACGTGAATCTATTGTGAGATCTTTATTTCTATCGCGGCTTCATCTTGGGGAGACGTTCTCGACATGTCTCATCATTATGTAAGTATCATTGGCGCTAAATAGAAATCGGTGCGCGGTTTTGCGAATGTCGATAACGGGTTAGCAATTTGTACATTCTGTCGATACTCTAATCGCAGACTCGTCGAACCATTGCTTCTCACCTTGCCCGGATCTGTGCAAAAAGAGAAACGTTACGGCGAACGGCGGGAGAAGAGCGGTTGTTTCTTTAAGTGCGGACGCCAGCAGGCAAGTGGAATCGGCTTTAATTTCCGCGGCGAACGTTGCAATTAAGGACCCTAGAGCGAGACGCAACGCTCTCGCAACAATTAAAATAATGACTAGAGTGCCGTGCGACTACGAAACATTTAAGCCGGCGCGATGTAGGAATCATCGGTGATTTAAATCGATAGTTTTTGGGGCGTAATCGGTTCGTTCTTTCTCTCTCGTGATCTTAATCGTTATTGATTGCTCCGTCGCAACGGGCCACGCGGAATAACGATAAATTAAAGCCGCGTGAGTCACTTTTCTGTAAGTTCGGCCTATCCGTAATAACACGCTAAATCGTGCTTCGTGGCGGCGGACTTGATTGCGGCCGCGGGCGCAATCTTCCGAATAACAAACGTTAGTGTTGCACGACAGGGATACGCGCCCTTGGGACAGCGGCCTTGGAAAAATAGTAAATAGAAAGAATGCGTTAAAGAATGAAGTGACAATGAAGGAGACAGCAAGTCGACGTATAGTGATGCGTGACTCTGAAAATAACTATAATATTAGAAATGTTTTACTCAGCATATCATGAATATAAATTGATGTATCTCATGGGAAATTGAAAATAAGCGTACGATACATGAACATAAAAAGTAATAGAATATTACGAGGAGGATAATAAAAGCAATATCTAAGATGATGCGACATATTTTGACTCGAAGATAATTTTTAATAACAACTATAGAATATTGGGAAATACGTAAAGGGAAAATATTCACACGTTCGAAGGGTAGTCAATCGACATATTTCGTCCGCGATAATAATTATGCGGAATGAGTGGAGAAAACGTGCGCGCGGAATCGTACGACTGACAGGGAAATTACTAGGCTGGGAATTTCGGAATTGAGCCAAATTAGGTTTAGTATCTTCTCTAAGGTTGCGAAGAAGAGCAACAGTTGTCTTCCACCTATTTCAATTCCCCAATACTTCCGAACCGTGGAGAACATACTACTTCGCGGCGGCGTCGGCGGCGACGATACAATTCTCCATTGTGCCGTCGACAGTGCAGCGTAATGTCAGCAAACGCCTTGAAAGGTCCTCGAGGGGAGTGTGTTCAAAAGGCTATTGTTCCGCCAGTGAAACAAGTGTACGAGTCATTCTTTTAAATTTGATTTGGCCGCACAACGGCACAATCATGCGCCTCTCTCTTTCTCTCTTTTCTTTTTAGGCCTTCACCTCTTCATCGACTCGATTCGTAAATCGATGAAAATGTTGCTGACTGTATATTCGCGTTTATATTAGCATAATCGCCTCTTCATAATATGATATACACTTACAATTAGGCACAAGGTACAAAGAAATAAGAACTAAGAGCGAAAAAAAAATCATTATTTATCAAAAATTTCCTTAGTTTTTCATTTCTTTCTAACAATTATTAAGTCCATTTATTTCTTAAGTATTTTTCTTAATTTTTTTTTTAACATCATATAAATATCAGATTTCAAATTTTATAGATATTTATGCTTTAAAAGTGATATATCACATAACATCTTTTCTACTTTCTTTTCAGAGCGTCCTGTGGAAATGGAAGATCGAGTCTCCTCTTCGTTCTCCAGGTAAGTTCACGGTCGTAACCCTGAGTTATCTGCTTGCAAATTAGCGCCGTCGATTCTTTGAGGGATGTAGATACGCCGCGGATACGGTGTAATAAAAATGGAAATCGGCAGGAGTATCCTGAGAGATTTCCAGGAGCGCTTCGGGATTTTCGCCGATAAATCAGAGGTTTAACCCGGATGATCCTAACAAGGACTCCGCGAGCTCTTATCTGGACCATATTGATTTGTTCCATCGCGGAAAGTAGTTAAAAACTATTGCAGTTCTATGATGTACTCGCGAAGGTAATAAATTTCTCTTTAGAAACGCTCTTACATAAGAAATATCATTAATCTCGTTTCGTATCTAAGAAGAGCAATATTATCTGACAAATTCGCATTTAATGTATCGTAATATTTGGCGCATGTTATGTAACACGCATTAAAAATAGATTATTCCAAAATTTAAATTCTAAGAACGATTTCGCGCTCATTTAATATTTGTAAATTTTAGATTTTTTTTATATTGAGAAAATTTAAAGATTGCAATTTTTTTATATGTAAAATAAGATGTTAATTTATAAAAACAAGTAAAATAAAAAGTCAAGATCGCTCATCAATGCAAGATCGCAGAAGAATCTATCATATAAAATTAGAACTTAAGTAAAAATAATAGAATGCCTTAATTATCGATATCATAAAGTAACAATTTCTATCTGTTCACTCAATGAATCGATTTCTTGCTTCAAAATGGATGTTTAATTTGTAATTAATATTTTTGCGGAAATTGCTATATTTTTAGCGTCTAATTTTACCTCGCCTTAAATAAATATCTATAGCACAGAAATACGCAAAGTCACACTTGATGTACAATTCGGGAAAATCAAAAGGCAAAGCACATGATATCACCTAAATTAAAATGGTCTATATTCGCGTGATCTACGACACAGAGCTCGCTATTGTACAAAGGGATGAACCACAGCGTATTTAGCAGGCACTTCGCAAAGATATACGATTCGACAAAGTTCGCCCGCGGCAAGAAATAAAAGTTTATTCACATCCAAAACTTTCCCCACTGTATCCGCGATGACTAGATGCCGGGAGGGAGAGGGGAGGGGTGGAGGAGGGTGAAGAAAGGAGAAACGAAGGGAGCACGCTTCGTTTCGCCACCGTTTCCATAAGTTCCGAGAGCAGAATTTCCGTTACAGGGCAGAAACGTAGTTGTCATGTAGATACTTCGACCAAGTACTTTGCTTCGTTCTCAGTCAAAGTGCCTCTGACGACGACAAGATGATTCAAAGGCGGGTAGTCAGATGTGGTTTTCTTTCTCTCTCTCCCTCTCTCTTTCGCGAGCGTAAATGTTCACTTTGGTTGGAAGAATGTACGTACTTTTGGAATCTTGCAAACTTTCCACATTATTTGCTACAATATATTGCGAAGAGAACATTTACGAAAGAATATATCGAAAAAAAGAAATTAAAAGGTTCCGGGAAGATACTGATTATAGTGCATAGATAATCAAATATTTTTGTAATATAGTATTTTAAACTTGTACATGATTTCGTGAGAATTGCCTGATTTTTCTCATCATAGATGTTTGGTTGCCATTAGAGAGAGAGAGAGAGTAAAAGGAACTTCATCTATTAATTTTAAGCAACTTAGGAAGCACTCACTTATGGAGGAGGGTGAAGAAAGGAGAAACGAAGGGAGCACGCTTCGTTTCGCCACCGTTTCCATAAGTTCCGAGAGCAGAATTTCCGTTACAGGGCAGAAACGTAGTTGTCATGTAGATACTTCGACCAAGTACTTTGCTTCGTTCTCAGTCAAAGTGCCTCTGACGACGACAAGATGATTCAAAGGCGGGTAGTCAGATGTGGTTTTCTTTCTCTCTCTCCCTCTCTCTTTCGCGAGCGTAAATGTTCACTTTGGTTGGAAGAATGTACGTACTTTTGGAATCTTGCAAACTTTCCACATTATTTGCTACAATATATTGCGAAGAGAACATTTACGAAAGAATATATCGAAAAAAAGAAATTAAAAGGTTCCGGGAAGATACTGATTATAGTGCGTAGATAATCAAATATTTTTGTAATATAGTATTTTTTAAACTTGTACATGATTTCGTGAGAATTGCCTTCCCTCATCATAGATGTTTGGTTGCCATTAGAGAGAGAGAGAGAGAGAGAGAGAGTAAAAGGAACTTCATCTATTAATTTTAAGCAACTTAGGAAGCACTCACTTAATCGCATCACGAAGTAATTAAATATCTTTTCCTTGAAACTCCCTGAAGTATTCGTTTGCTTTACAAATCGCGCTTTCACGCGCGAAAGGTCCGTTCGCTCGATTTCCTACATTTTCACACATCTCGATGACTGTATTTTTGTCGGGAAATTACGAATAAATATACCGTCGTGAATGACGAACTCGGACGCGAGATAGGAGAGTGAGAAAAAAAAGGGGTCGCTGATAAAGTGGGGGTCAACCCAACGGTTATATCGCGCGGACGTCTGTTCCCCATCGACGTGACAGAAAGAGGCCAGGAAATTGTATCAAATTGGAGAGCGGTCCAGGGATTAAGGATCCCTCGAAACTCTCGTGGCTCTTTACTTTCTCTCTCTTTCTCTCGTCAAGCGGTAAGTTCTCGCACATGCCGCTCTGATCCGGGCATTGTTGTGCAAATCCAACAAAAACCGAGGCTCCCCTCCTCTGTCTGTCCCTTTTGCTTAATCTCGCGAACCCACTTGAGATCGCAACATGCGGCCGCGCACGAGGCCGCACAATTAATTTATGTAGCATCTAAAGCACTTACGAGAGAGAAAGAAAGAAAGAGCGAGCTGCTGCATCTCTCACTTTAAATTTCATACGCGAGTCCGTCACTGCCATAATCTCGAATAATCTCTCGGCGCCTCTTACGAATATTTTTTTTCCTCTCTGCGTCGCACGGTTGCTCTCCCCTGTGTTTGCATTTCGAAATCGCTGTGGATTATTTCACGACAGGACGTTGCAGTCTGAGAATTAAGGTCCGTGCATTTAATGCTACATCTTGTATACTAAGGAATCAAATAAAATTTGATTTTGATTTGATTTATGATACTGCAGCATGATACAACATATGATTTTTTGTATGCAAATACCGAACAAATCAAAATGCTCACACTTGTGATGTGATATTTACTTGTTACTAGTATTTAATAATCTAATGAATCATAATATATAGTGAAAACGAGAACGTAACTCCCATTCAATCGGCAATTGACGTCGTACTAATAATAACGCTGTTTTTGAATCTCAAGATATCTTCAAGATAAGGTAAGCGTTATTAATCAATTATATCATATAACGATAAACTGGCTAAATGATTAAATTTTTAATGGGTGATATCCGCATATCTGTACGTATAATTTAGGTATTACGACGAGCATTGTTGATACATTCTGCTTTATTTTAATTTATTTATATTTTATTTTCTGCTTTAATACAATCTGTCTATAACCTCATATATGATGTACATGATGCATATTCCAGCTGACAGCAGAGCTCATTAACATATAGGCGCATTATTCTTATCGCGCGTAATTTTTTACGCATTATTATTCGGCATAATTTTCCACGACACTACCGATACACGAGCGCATATGTTATTTAATTACAAATAACATTGATTTAATTCGGTGACTCCTCTCATTACCGTACATCTCATATATTTAATTATAAATAATTTAATTAAATCATCACATATTCGTAAACGTCGCGTTCATTTGATAACACGTTTAATTAATATGGGACGACTTGGTAACGCGAGTCGTTATTAATGAATATGCGTTTATTGCACAAAAATAATGGTCAAAATTATAAAAACATTCAACGGAAATTAGATTCCCGCGTAATAAATTACATATTATATCTACTATTAATTAATTACGCAATAGAGGTAGCGATATGGTACAAGCATTATCTCGTACATATTCGTAGCAAATTTAAATTATGCCTTGCATAATTCTGCAGTAATTCTGAAATATCTCAAACTAAAGAAAAATATAAGGATTGGTTGTAAACCAAATGTTAAATATATATAAAACTTAATTTTTAAGTTATGAAAATATAATAATATGTTTTTTCTCTCTAACTGTAAACATTTTTATTTTCTTATATCTGTAAATTCATTCTATATTGTAGTAATTATAGTACTGTAAAATGCGATTAATACCAATATTTTTTTGTCGCACGTAACAATTACATGACGCGTTAACATTATTTCAACCTCGCGTTATATCTGTAATATCGCGCAACTCTCCATTTTCAGGGAATGCATTTCTGCCTGATTGAACTGCATTCTCGCACATTTGCATATTGAAAAAAATTCATAGGCGCGCCGTTTTACTGGGAATAACGATAAAATGTGTATGTAACTCATTTAACGCGGGCCAGTGTCGAATTGGATTTCACGTGGCATTACGTAATATCATCCAATCACAATAGTGATGCTCGCTGATTACTGTCTGAAATGTCACTTGACATTTATGAATCTACAAGCAACGTGCGCGTTATACATTATACATACACATTAAATAAATACGTTGCAAATGACACGTTCACAAATTTATTGCTCGTTTTATTTTAAAAACATCATTGGATTGAAAATTTACCATTTGTTCCAATATGTGTTCTCGCATATAATATTGCTCGAATAAAAATATTCTGCCATTTTTTTGTACGTTATGATCACATACTTCTATATTATACCTAGACTGCTAACAGCGATATGACAGGCAGCCATTTACAATTGGGCAGAATATATACGAGCTGTCAATCGATACTTAGTTTTGAAGGGAAAGCTGCAATATTTAATATAACTTTTATATTAAACATATACAAAACTTTTATATTAATATTGCAGCTTTCTCTTTAAAAATAAATATTGATTGACAGCCTGCTAATATCCTGCCCAATTATAAATGACTGCTTCACCTGTCACATCGCTGTTAGCAGTCTAGTATATATGTATATAGAAGTCTGTGGTTATG